AACTGATGCTTTGGATTTTGCTTTGAGAGCTGTACTTTTACAAATGGGAGAAGGCAAAAAGCTCCATCTTGTTGCATTCTATTCTCGAAAGTGCTCTGCTGTTGAAATCAATTATGAGATCCACAATAAGGAACTTCTTGCTATAGTGGATTCTTTCCAAGAATGGTGTCACTTTCTTGAAGGAGCTTCACACCCAATGACCGTATACACAGATCACAAGAATTTGGAGTATTTCATATCGGCTCGAGTTCTAAATGGACGTCAAGCTCGGTGGAGTATGTTGCTATCTAAATTCGATTTTGTTATCACTTATCGACCTGGAAAGCAGCAAGGACTATCTGATGCCTTATCGAGGAGATTGTATCTTGTCCCAAAGGCTGGATAAGTAGTGTTTGATCAACAATGTACAACATTGTTGAAGTCAGAGTAATTTTGGCTTTGCACTACTATTGTGCCAATTGATGCTGACTTCCTGAATCAAGTATATGTCATGACCATTGAAGATTCAATAGCCATTGATATCAAGCAGCGTGCCAATGACGACAAGCTCAAGGTGGAAGGAGATCTTTTATACTTTGAGGAGTGGTTGTATATTCCAAAAGGACCAACACGACTCCGAGTTCTTCAATCTCGCCACGATTTTTTAGCTGCAAGACATTTTGGATTCAACAAGACCTTCGAACTTATTTCTCAAGATTTTTGGTGGCCCCAAATATGGAAGGATGTGAAAGATTTTGTCCTCTCTTGCAACATCTGTTCAAGATCCAAGAATCCTCGGCATCGCCCTTATGGACTTTTACAGCCATTGTCGATTCCACGTCGACCATAGTCTTTAGTTTCCATGGACTTTATCATAGACCTGCCATCATCGAACTCATTTGACAACATCTTTGTCATGATAGATCGGCTTATAAAGATGGCACACTTTGTCTCTTATAAGAAGATATTGTCTAGCAAGGCTCTTTCTCGATAATGTGTATCGATATCATGGACTACCAGAAGATATCGTATCAGATCAAGGAATCCAGTTCATATCAAAGTTTTGGAGATCTCTCTTTGAGATACTGAAGGTGGATATCAAGCTTTCTTCGGCTTTTCATTCTCAATGTGACGGCCAAATGGAATGGGTGAACTAAGTCTTGGAACAATACTTACGATGCAGCATCAACTATCAGCAAGATGATTGGATCGCATATCTGTCGCTAGTCGAGTTTGCATATAACAACACCCTCTATGCGTCGACTGAATACACACCATTCTTTTCCAACTATAGGTATCATCTGAAGCTTGATTTATTGAGTCCGTCAACAAATAACAATCCAGCAGTTGAAGGATTTGTGAAACAACTATCAGAGCTTCAAAATACGTTGAAGCTTCAATTACAATCTTCTCAAGAATCCTACAAGGCATCTCCAAATAGATTTCGGAATTAAGCACCTACTTTCAAAATTGGAGATAAAGCATGGCTTCTTCGACGGAATATCAAGACCAAGCGATCATGTAATAAGTTGGACTATCAAAGATTGGGACCATTTATCATCCAAAAGAAAATCAATCTAGTGGCGTACCATTTGGAATTACCGGCTTCTATGAAGGTACATCCAATCTTTCATGTTTTTCTGTTGGAACCTTATCGAGAGTCGTGTTTTTCTAGGAAGAGTGCAATGTCTGCCACCTAGTATTAAGATCGAGAACCATGAGGAATACGAGGTTGAAAAGGTACTGGATTCACGATGAAGGTGAGATAAGTTGGAATATCTTGTTTATTGGTGTGGCTATGACATTAATGAGCAAACGTGGGAGTCAGCTAAAAATCTCGCTAATGTGCCACAAAAGGTACAGGAGTTTCATCAACAACATCCTCATAAACCTAAGTCGATTCGACGATAGCTTCCTTCTGAAGCTTGCTCATCCAAGAATGTAAGAAAGGAGGAGAGCACTACCAAAATTTGTAGTTGATGTAGTTATTTTCTCCAAGATAAAATAGAATTTTTTCAGTAGCCATAGTTTGGTCTTCTAATATGGATAGCCAAGAGATAGATACTACTATGCCAATTAGATTATCTCAATCGACTAGCTCACGAAGGCGACCTCGAGATGAAGAACCACCTACACCACGACGACGACGAAGGATATCAAGTAACCAATCACTAGTGATTGTATTTGAGTTCGAGCCTACTTACGATGGTCAGCCAAAAAACGTATTTGCAGGACAATTTCACAATGAAGACACGGAAGTTCATGCTTGATCAGAAGTCAAAGGCGTGGGCCACTACCATTGGCTTCAAAGGCCAATGAACCACTTGCCTCGTGAACAACAGTTGGAGTTCATAGCAGACGTTATACGACAGATCTTCATTTTCTTGCGTTGGTACTGATTAACAACAATATTGTATCTCAGAGACCTCGAAGCTAAAAGAGGGGGTGATGTTAGGGACATAGTCCTTAGAACCTTCTAGAGACAAGTTTTTAGAACCTTCTAGAAGCAAATCTCTGGAACCTTCTAGAAGCTTCCTAATTAGTAGAAGTTACTTGAGAAGCTTCCTAAATATGAGTATATATTAGAATCGAGGCTGAAGAGTTCTTCAATCTCGACAATACATCTCTTGGAGCTCTAGCTCACCTCTTTGGTGTTGTTCTTGTATTCATCTGATTAATCTAGTTCTTGTCAATTCTTCTTGAACTTCTTGTTAGATCTCGAGCTTGTATTTGTGTGTCCGTGACAAAAGGCCTCAACAATGATCAAATAATAGGATGGTCTTCTTATCCTAGTATGAAATACTATCAATAGCTGAGAAGGCCTATCAATCATCTTTGAAGAGAGCAAAGACAAAGTATGTGGAAAATATAATTTGCTGCATCTTGGACGTCTTCAATATATGAAGATGACTTCTTGTAGGACTCATTCCTAAAAGGAAGGAGGGAGGGGAGTAATGTCACAGACATATACAATTATCCCAATAGTTACTTATATAATTAGGTAGAAATTAGTAAATATAATTTAATTTCATAAAATCTTCTAGACAAGCTTTCTAGAAGCTTTATAAATAAGGTTTGACTTTAGATGTATTCGTAGGATAGAAACTTGGCCAACAAGTTAATCATGTGTTAGTAGCTTGTAGAACAAGTTAACTCTGTATAGTAGCTTGTAGAACAAAGTAACTATGTGGTACATATAAAAATAACTTGCTTTGTAAGTTAATACATGTGGCTAGCAAAGTCAACACATTTTAGACATCTTATAGGACATTGCCACGTAGCTCCTAGTTAAGAGTATATATAGAGGCAAGAGTGAACTACTATGTTGAAAATTTAGTATATAGAATTATATAAGCCAAAAATAAATTTGAATTAATTCAATAAGTATTCAAGATTTAAAATGTGTAAAATTAGTTGTGTCCTTCATTTTTTTTTTAAATCTTAAAAAAATCCTTGGATGTAAGTATAAGCCATTATAAATTTTTTGGTGAATGGATTTAAGATAGCCAATATATAACATTCAGTTTTTACATGTTTAAGTATACAAAATTTAAAAAATTTGGTAGAATATTTGTGAGAAGGTCAAAAAGATGATACATTCTCTATGAGCATATTTAACAAGTTATAATAAATAACAAGACAATGTCTTTTAATATCTTATTTCAACTTACCAAAGATGTACAATGTAATGCACACTACTAAAAGCATAATTCTAATATACAACTTCTCAACTCCAAGTATAAAAAATGATACTACTTTGAAGATTGCTTCAATAACAAGGATTATAAACAACCATAATAAAATTCTAATAGTAAGTACTAATAGGATCTATATGGCATGTACATGGATTTAGAATACACTAAAGAACATTTTTAATGTAGTACTTCCTTGCATGTTCAAGAATTATGAGCTTGGTCTAATAAACATATCATTCAATTTTGATTTATTATTGTTTGACCAATGTTTGAAGAATTTTATAAATTACAAATCTGTAGATTGATTTTTATTATTGGAAGGAAACTTCATTAATTAAAGCCTTTTGATTTACTTCAACTAAAGTTTATGAATATTGAGGAAGTTCACAATCAACCTTACTCATCTACATTGAACAACTTAATTTCTTACCTTTGAAAGATTTGAGATGTAACAAATTTTTAAAACATTTTTACAATACAATACAAAGATGCTTTTTAAGTGATCCAAATTACCAGCCCACTCAAATTTAAAGATTAAAAATTAATTAAAGGCTATGTTTGAGAATTTTAGAAAATATTTATGAAAGTTGGAAGTTATACAATGTTTGTAGAATATATGGAAATAATATCTTGCGCTTTCTTAAGCTACTTTAAAATATGTAGAATAATAGTGAGAGGACAATATAGTAGCTCATGATGATGCTTTTGAATATTAAAGTAAAAATCTAATCAAAATATAACTAGCTAGGATTGATGCAAAATTCTATAAGACAAGTTGGGTACAATACAAAAAAATAAAGAAGCCTTTGATTGGTTGTGATGAAGGAAACTTCATAATGAACAAGAACTTAAAGAACTCATATGAACTTAAGAAATTCAAAGAAATTCATAGAAACTAAGAGAAACATACAGAGTATAGGAATGTTTTTTTTATATCCAACAGCATGGATTTTCATAGTACAATTTTTTAAATATGATCAAGATCATATATCTTAAAAATAATGAAGACAAAAACACCATCATAAATATAGTTTATCTCAAAGTTCTTTCAACTTAGCTATTTAAGTTATTGAAGTAAATAAAAATTACATTTGCCAATTATAATAAAAAAACATAAATGATTCAATTGTTATGCATATACTCTCTTTTCTTTTTTTTTTTCTTTCTTGGTCAACATTTCTTTAGGAGTTGTTAATTTTTAACTTAGAAACAACAAATTAAAATTTTACAATTTGTTTGTGCCCGGCAGCACAAGTTTCCATTAGTGTGTGTATGTGTATATATATAGGTCGGGTGGGGTTCCATTCAAGGGAATAATGAATGAATGAGAAGGGTGGTGACCGTGGCGGTGAGTCTCCTGCTTCTTCTTCTGCTCCTCCACCGTCGTCGTCGTCGTCTTTTGTGTTCTCATCATAGGGATGCTTCTGCTTCTCCCCCCCCCCCCCCCCCCTTTGTCATCCGCTTTGTCTTCTTCCTGTTTTGCTATTGGAGCAGTAGTAGTATTAATAGTAATCGTGCTTGTAGTTATAGAATTGGAGAGGGATGGAGACCGCAAGGATGCTGGCAGTGTCGTCCATGGGAGGGATTGGCTTCACAAGCGCAGAGGAAGGGGCAGGTGGAGATGGACTCGGGGACTCCTCCAACAATTGCCTCCAACTCTCCCGAACTAACGTGATCCTCTCACCACCATGCTCTCGCGCTCTCTCTTCCTCCCTCTCTCTTTCTCTTACGTTCAAAATAAACCCTAATCCATTGCTCTTTCCTCCTCCTCTACCCGGCTCTTCTCACTCGTGGTTGCTGGTGGTGATGCGGTTCATGCAGAAACTGATTGCATTTTCTGGATTTCTGGGCTTCGGAATGCTGTTGCAAATGATGGTACGTGCCCCGGATTCAAACACACCACACCACAACCTCGTCTTTCTCTTAGCACGGAATATTAACAACGACAATAGCAAGAGTAGGAAGGGAATAGAAATGTCGAACAATCCTTGTGAACAATCCTTCGTCCAATGAGTTGAGTTTCGTTGCGTTGCGTTGCGTGACCTTTTCTAACCGTCATGGGTTGCATGCAAGCATGGGGTGGGTGGCCCTGCTCCTCTCCTCTCCTGCCAGTTCTGTCTTTCTACCAACAATACCCAATCTCATTGCTGCAGTGTGTGCACACACATACGTATATATATATATATATATATTTGTATATTCACACGGAAACATATTCTTGATGAATTCTAATTTTATTACATTTAAATAATAAAAAAATCGTATAAATTCTCAACTTCCCATTTCGGATCCTCTCAAATAAACATGCATGACTGTTTCCCAAAATTGAAAACAATGTACTCAATTGAGAAAAATTACAGTACAGGCAATAACGTATGTTGCTTTTCACAAAATCATGTGACACAGCTATGAAAAGCATGAGATTATAGATCATAATAATTATCACAATACCCAGCTTTCTTCACAAAAACAAAACCAAAAATTAACTTTAATAATATTACATGTAACTTTAAAATAGTTTTTTACTTTTTATTTTTGAAAACATTTTGCATTAAAATCTGGAGGAAAATATTGATATGATAACTATTAATTTATAAAGATAAAAAGTATATAAAATGGAAATTACACCTGTATGTATGTGTGCATGTATATGTACACACTATAAAAGTCAACGTTGTGGAAATAATGCATTAATGAGATGCGTTTATTCAGTCATTTTCATAATTGTGATTTCTTATCTTGAAAAAACCACATTACTACAGTAGCTTATATAGTAATTAATAAGCAAGGTATTACTCAGATGTTTTGCAAATTTCCGGTATTAAGAGTTATTTGTGTATTTACGAAATAGGATAGAAGAATAAATACATAATGAAAGAATTGACAGTGTTGGTATTTGATATTATATTATAAAAATACTAATATTTGATATCAAAATATCACTTATTACTAATCTTATTTCATAATTTTTTTGTGATGTTCTTATTTAAATTTCTCGAAAATAAACTTGATAAAATGGATTTTTAGGATCAGTAGTTGCAAATGTCAAGTATGGTGTATACAAATTCTTATGTTCATCACTGTATCAAATAATGTTCTGAGCTTTGTAACTTATAAGTATTATTGAAGATGATTTAAACAGTATGATTAAAATCACATGAGGAGTTCTTGTGATTTGTGTTATGATAAAAGTAGCAATAAAATACTTCCAAATAAAACAAAAAAACGAAAAAAACTGATGTATTAATGTCCAAACTTTTTCATTTTTCCATGTATGCAGTCAATGACAATGTTTCTGTTTCCGAAAAAGTTTGCAGTTATGTATACTATGGGAAATTTATTCACAATATCAAGGTAATACTTCTATTGCTTTAGTGCATTTGATTTGAATAATTTCATACTTGAATTGCACTGTTTTTTTTCATAACATATTTATTTAAAAAGGAACTTGAATTGAAGATAAAAAACATTCAAAAGATTTACAATGTTTGATCTGGTACTTATTAAAATTCTGGCTGCAGATTTCTTGGTCTTTTAGAATTATATTTTGTTAACATACAAAAACCATCCTGGGATTATTCTAAGCATATGTTCCCCATTATTAACATCTTAACATGATTCTGAATGTTTAGCATTTTTAGTGTAGTGGTATGTAGCATTTTACTGTTTCAAATAAAGAAAACAGTAAAACTAAGAATATTAATTCTGAAATGCATCATGATTGTGCACGATTCAATGTTACTACTTTTACAAAGTCATGCATCTATAATTGAAATGATTTTCTTGGCAAGAATATAAATCACTTTTTTCAAGTAGTGCATAAAGTTTTGTCAATAAATAATTTATTCAGAAAACAAGCAGACTACCATATGAGATCTTGACCATGTTAACCTGGCCTAAAATATTTTTAATGGATCCAAATATCAGTTACACATCATTTTGTATGATTGGTAGGTTAAGTAATATCAAAGCTCTAAAAAAAAATAATAAAAAAAAAAAACAGAAGCAAAAAAATGTGGTAAAAAATCATCGATAAAATTTCTTGAATATTTTATAGATATTATTTTATTTCATTTATAAAGTTCATTAAATTACCTGTATATTTCAATATGGAATTCAAGCCTTGTCAATGATATGAACAGGATTGTTATTAACAATTGTTGTCATGTACTACTCAAACAAAAAAAGCATTCTTACATTGGGGTTATGTAAAGTGAATAGTTTATATGACTTGTGATTGGAATAGTACTATGTTTCTGATAGGGCCTTTCAAACAAATGAAAGCAATGTGTGCACCGACAAGGTGGTTGGCATGTCTCATGTACTTCCTCAGCGTTGCTCTTGTTTTCTTTGCTGCTCTCAAAGTAAGTCATTTGTTCTTGTTCTATTCTACTCTGTGTACATGAATTTCACCAACAGCATATAATTAATTCAATTCTTGAAAGCTGATGAACTTTTCTCATTGTGGTTTTCATTTGGTGAAGAAATGATGCAGTTAAATGACTACTTCTTGACAATCTTGAGCATCATAGTTGAATTGTGCACATTTACCTGGTAAAAATATCCATCCTCTTAATACAATATTTTCCTGATTTCGTTTTCTAATTTCTAACTATATTGAATATTGATTTTAATTAATTCACCTGTTATCTGTTGTAGACTAATGAAAATTCTTATATATATATATATATATATATATATATACATACATATATACATAGATACAAAATATATACTAGCAAAAATTTGTGTAAAAATATACTACTATGCAGCAGGTTGATTTTTTGATATGAACATTAATATGAACATTGCATGAGTGTCTGTTTTCAAGAATGTGATGCAGAAATATATAGTTAATAATTTTCTACTTCCTTTACCTTCAATATAAAGAGGTATATATATATATATATATATATGTATATGTGTGTGTGTGTGTGTGTTCAAACATATTTGAATGACATGTCAATAAATACAGGTATGCATTAAGTTATATTCCATTTGCACGACAAATGGTAAAATCATGCTTTCAATCCTGCTGGGGTGTTTGAAGATTTAAATGTAAGCATTAATATGCCGTATATAAATTTAATTAGATAGATTTTATCAGTTATGTATTTTTTTATCACTTTTCAGAAGATGTTGACAAAACTTATTGGTATCTTGTCATAAGTATGTACAGATCATATTTTTTCTTTACATTGCCAAATCAACCTTATTTTTTCCATTCAATTAATTATTTATCATAATATATTCATGAGAAACATCTGACAAATTACCTTCCACATTTTAGAACTTTACTCATAGAGAAGATATCAAAAAAATGTATGGAAATCAGCATATTATGTCAGAAGTATTATATGGTTTTCAGATTTTGTTTCTGGAAGTTTTGAATATGAGAATAAGTTTTAACATGTGTTAAGTTACTTTTATTTAAAATTTAAAATTAATTGTAATATGATTTTATCATTTTATATTCCAAAGATGATTATATGACCATAAAAAAAAAAAAAAAAAAAAAAAATCTTTTTGAGACCAATGTGTATATATATACTTAACATGATTACTAATTTATGTCTATTTATTAATAAATTGATGGTGTTTGTTGACATCATGATTGCTTGTAATGTTTACATTCTCATTCTTCTTCTTCTTCTTCTTCTGCTTATTCAATTTTGTTCAAACCCACCAGCAATTAGCAGCTCCCCATTTGCTTGAACCCTCTTCTTGACTTGCTCATCAATTCAAGGCCTTGTGGAAAGGAATTGAAGGGGTCTCAAACTCAATTTTGGACAACAAGTGCACAAGAGTACAAACTATGGTAGTTTTTTCTGTTCTTTAATTGCCTACGATTATCACACTTTCAGTCTTGAGATCAATCACATTTAATATCAAGCATATCTTCATCTCTTCTTTATCCATAATAGCTATGAAAGGGAGATTAGGAGGGATATTTCTTTTGGACATTATCATATTACATGCTATCTTGCTTGAAAATACACAGGGCATCTAGCTATGGAAGATAAAACAATGTTTTGCAAGTATCCAAGTAGTCTAGTGGATTTCAACCATCTAAATACAAACTATTTTGGATTTCAATGTAAAAGCTTAATTCCAATACAAAGTGCTTAGAAACACTATTTTTTATAACTTCAAGATATTATAAGCATAAATTCTTTTATTATTTGTTAGTTTTTTTTTTTTAATTTTTAATTTTTTAATTTTTAAACTCTAACCCTAGACAGAAAGCTTTGGCAAGCTATAATTCTCAATCTGACTATCTGATTGTTGTATAACTTCTATCACTTATGTCTTTGCAAGTCTTCTAAATGCTCAAGAAGTTTCAATCCAATCCAACTTATAGATTGTAAGAAAACACCATAAATCCACACTGTTGTTCCTTGACCATCATTTAGAAAGTTGATGATGAACTTTGAATTACAATTTCTCCTTCTCCAACCATTAATTCTTATTCAAACTTTGTATACAGCTTTGCCTTTAAGTTCCTAACTTATTACGTAAAAATTCATCTTATTTCAACTAGTAGATCTCCAAATATCGCAGAAACCCTAAACAATCTCAATCCGCCAACTTTTGATACCTCTTTACACTAATGATCAAATATCCTCTATCCATACCGTGAGATTAATACAAGTTTTATATGCGCTTGGCATACACAACCATGTGGACACCTCTAAAATTTCAATTGGAGATGTTTCTTCAATTTTACAAATCAGTCAAGAGTACTAGTCCTAATTTTATTGAAAAAAATCCAAATCACCAATACAAACACTGACTTTGAACAACGATTACAAAGTCCTGCCAAACTCTATGAAAATCAAGTCTTACATCTTTCGAAGAAGCTCTCTGACTCCAAAAAATCTTAATCTCCCCATGTCATTTTTTTTTTTTTTTTTTTTTTTTTTTTTACTCCATGAGGTCTCTTATTCTTCTGCCCTAGATTTGGAATTAAAACAGCAAACCATGCTTCTATGGAATTTCCGCCTCTAAGAAGATCTTTCCATAGAAAAGACGTTTCTCTGAAATGGCATAGAGAACAAAACACCTTGAAATGGAACTGAAGCCTCCGTAATCAGGACCTCATTGGATTGTCCAATCAAATCAGGTCTCATACTAGGTAAGAGGCCCGTAACAAGACGTGGATTGGATGTCCCTATAATTGGGTCAAATTGGTCCTTTGTATTAAACTCATCCAAATATTGAATTGGTCCTTTCTCCTTTTTTTGACTCCTAGTAAGAATGGCTTGGACACATTCTATCCGATTTATCGGAGAATCTTGAGGTCCTCGATTTGTCTCCTCAATTTTTTTCTTAGCTTTGGATCTGCTGATCCCGATTATTGAAAATTGAACAAAGCAGTACATTGCTGATAAGTATTCCTCGACTGCTTGCAATTCCCACACACTGGCATCTAATCATCACTAGCTCTGTGTTAGGGACATATTCCTTAGAACTTTCTAGAGAGAAGTTTCTAGAACCTTCTAGAAAACAAGCCTCTGAAACCTTCTAGAAGAGAAGCCTCTGGAACCTTTTAGAGAGAAGTTTCTAGAAGCTTCTAGAAAGGAAGTTTCTAGAACCTTCTAGAAGAGAAGTTTCTAGAAGCTTCTAGAAAGGAATCCCCTGGAACTTTCTAGAAGCTTCCTAGTTAATAGAAGTAGCTCGAGAAGTTTCTAGAACCTTCTAGAAAAGAAGCCTCTAGAACCTTCTAGAAGCTTCCTAGTTAATAGAAGTAGCTCGAGAAGCTTCCTAAGTAAGAGTATATATAGGGATCGAGGTTGAAGAGTTCTTCAGTCTCGACAGCACATCTCTTGGAGTTCTAGCTCACCTTTCTGGTGTTGTTCTTGTATTCATCTGTTTAATCTAGTTTTGCCACTTCTTCTTGAACTTCTTGTTAGATTTCAAGTCTGTATTTTGTGTCCGTGACAGTTTGTCGAGACTACACTAACTTGAGATATCAAAGCTAGTTCTTTCTTAGTAGAGTGTGGATTACCCCTCTACTTGAAGATATACTAGCATTTTTTAGAGGTTGCGGATTACCCTCCTCTAAACTGATACTTCTTCTGTTACAATACTGGAGTCTTATTCTTCTTGGAGAGAGTGGATTACCCCTCTTCTTGAAATTCTTAAGGCGTTTTATAGGTTGTGGATTACCCTCCTATAAACCAATATTGCCTCTTATAGGGTCATTTTTGTCCTTCTTTTAGAATGGCCGGAGGTCAAGAAATTAGTATGACAGAAAGTTCGGAGTCTAAGTTAGATGCTATTATGAATGCCCTCGCTACGTTATCACAAAGAACTGCAGAGATTGAAGGAGTGGTGGCAAGGCTTCATAATGATGGAGTATCTGGGATAGCACAATCTAAACTACACTAGCCTCAAATTTCGGCACTTGGAGAAACAACTTTACCTCAGGTTCGACAAGAACCACTAGTTCTACAACATAAGAAGCCTCGAGTTAGCCTTCCAGATAAGTTTGATGGAACATGTTCCAAGTTTCGAGGATTCGTCAATCAAATCAGGTTGATAACAGTTTTACAGCCCAAACGATATCCAACAGAGGAGTCACGTATTGGGCTTATTGGAACCTTACTTACGGGACAAGCTCTATCATGGTTTGCTCCTTTGTTTGAAAAACGATCATCCATATTAAACAACTTCGAAACCTTTTTGGAAGCATTTGCGGAAGCATTTGGTGAACACGATAAGGTTCGATGGGCTACAATAAAGATCCGATCGCTACGACAAGGGATGCGTTCTACATCAGTCTATGCTTCGAATTTCAGGCAATTAGTATGCGACATCAATTGGGATGAAGAAGCGTTGATGAGTCAATTCTATTGGGGTTTAAGAGATGATGTGAAGGATTTGCTGTTAACTCTTCCTGATCCACGAACGCTTAATGAAGCCATTAGCCAAGCTGTGAAGTGCGAT